GAGCGGAAACATCCCGAGTGTATAAGCAAGTCGCAAGAAAGGATCCGAGAAGACGTGCTGAAAGCACCGTCCATCGCCGCTAGAGATCTGTGTGTATTTTAGGTCTCTTGATCGCTCAATCAATAATCCAAAACAAGGAAAAGCTGGCAAACCACTGGAAAACGACCGATGAAGGGGCCATTCCCCGCGGTTGCTTTGGGCACTTCATGACTCGCGCTCTCTTCATGCATGTGTCGCGTAACCTTCAATTCAGCAGTAACATCGACAAGCATGCCTCCTCTGATCGTGCTTGCAAGTTACGGCCGGTAATAACAGCACTACAACGCGTTTTGCTGCTGGCTACACGGCCTCTGCCATCATAGCCTTCAATGAAGCAATGCTACCGTCGAGATCTACTTTCAACCGAATCCGTGTCTTCATGAAGAACAAGCCCCACTAAATCATTCATGATCTGCTACGCTGAGTCGGCATACTTCATCCGATAAGTATCCAGCGTGTCTTCGGATGCGCCCACTTTTGTTTTGACGGCTCAGTTATCGTATCGTGTATGGTCCGAGCTAACATGAGCGCAATGCTGTATGCAGTAGTTTCGAAGTCTACTGTGGTAAGAAGGAACGAGTTGCAGACATCAGCTCAACCGACGAGATGACAGGTGGACTGCAACCAGCGCAACGTTTTCGGGCTCGAAGCTCCGTCAGATGAAACGAGGTAACTCGCCATCATAGACAATTACTACTCGTCTGTGGCGCTGCCTATGGAGTTACTGATAATTGGATTCTATTTTATTGGTACCGTGCGCTCCGACCGACTAGAACTGGGTGCAGAGATATTCCCGAAGAAGGAAAAGGGTGGGAAGAGGCCTACTAAAATCCCCAAGAATCGACCTGCTAGCATTGAACGAGGGACGCTCATCACAGCAGATGCACTTCACGCTCCGAACATGATGTGTTTGCGTATCCATATTATGCTGAGCATGGGTGGCAGCATGAAAATGGACCGCGTTGTGCGTCGCGACAAGTTGACTGAAGAAAAGCAAGAATTGGTGTGCCCTCGAGTCATCAAAGACTATCAGACGTTCATGGGGGGACGACGGACATAATTAGCTAAGGCTACAAAGGTAAAGTGCTCGTATCGTGTCTATACAGCCTACCTTGATTTCTAATCGTGTATGTACTTCTTACCGATACTCGCTGCAGCTTTGCATCAAATACAAGAAGTACTACAGGTCTTGTTTATTTGGACTCATCGATCTTGCAATTATCAACCCATTTATTTTGCACAACGCTGCTCGTGCTGCTGCCAACCTTCCTAAGATGAACCACGTTTTTAAATAAGTTGCGCCTGGAGCTGTGTCAACTGCGTGAGGAGGACTGAGATAGTCTACGCAGCAGCGAATGTTATAAGCGACACCTTCTAAAAGTGCGGGTAATACTGTCCGACGGCAAATCGCGCATCGATCGCAGCTAAATGACGAGTGGTGCGCTGGTAACAACAACCAGGGGAGGAAGCGACGAACTCGCGCGTGCAAAGGTTGTTCGATACTCAAAGGCACTGATGGAGCTTGCGATGGTGACAGATCCGTGTACTGCAGTAAATGTAAGCTTCCGTCAAAGAAGCCTCTTGCATGGCGCGTTTTTCTCTGTGAGAAAGCACGACATATATTAAATGGGCAGGTGGTGAGTTGCTTTGACATTTTGCACAGTGCTTGGCGAAATGGGACTTTGGCGCCTGCATCAAGTGGTGCGAAAAAGCGAGCGACTTGCGCGCGTGCACCTGCGAAGAAACACTCGAGTGAGGAGGATGCTGGATAAGAAGCTTAGAGGAATGGTGAAGAGGAAGCAGAGGGCAGCGAGGAATCACGTGACAAATCCGGGGCCGGCTCCGGCCGTCCGAAGCGACCCCGTCTGCTGCTAAAGCTGTGATGACGGCTTGAGTAACTGATAGCGCCCGTCTATTTTGATTTAGAGGAACTATTACAGAATGTCACGCAATACATCCTTATTGCAGCTGCTGTAAGTACTAGCATTATGCACTCTCTCACTCGATTTTGCACTTTGACGCCATGACTCTACTACACACCAGGCTCGACTATATCGAGCGACCTACATGAGAGCAGTATAAACGTGTATCGTTGGTCGCTTCAACGATGTCCATACCCGATAGCGAATGATACCTCCTCCGGGGAGAGTACGTTCAGCTTGCGCTAATCCACTATACACGACTGCAAAATGTATAGACTTTTGTGTGGGAGCCCTTACCCCATACATACGTTAGATCAGATAGGGTTTAGGGAAATGAGGGGGGGGGCGGAAAATTTTTGAGCTCAAGGAGCTAGCCGTCTTGCTCCGCTAATTGCGAATCTAATTTTATACCAAGTGTGATAGCTGCGCCGACCATTGATCAGCATATTCTGGGTGCATTTTCGTAATCGATGCCCAATTTTTATAGCCAAAATCACCAATTTGAAGAAAAACAATAAAAAGCACGTTTCCCTCTCATGCTCCGATTGAACCAAGTCTATTAAAAACCCACTTCCATCGAGCTCTTTATATCTCTGAGTACATATGGTACTTTTTGTTCGCCGAGATTCTTATTGTTTGCTGAGATTCTCTCTTAAACTGAGAATCTCCGTCATCGCGTGGTGGTCTTTTGTTAAAGGTGAGGATATGGGCCCCGTGTTTTGACGGGGCGCCGTGTATCAGCAGTGGTCCATGTACAGGTACCGGTACCGGTAGCTGGAAAGCCGCACGTACTGGTTCAAAATAAATCGGATAAAATTTATTTAGCTTATTTAATGTTTTTTTTAAGTGGAGCTTTTTTGTTGTTGACCACAAATTTGCTCTTTCGTCCGACGTCACAAAAGCCGGACCAAATGAGATTTCAAAAAGATGACTACGCACGGCAACAGCAAGGGACTCGACGAGCTCGGCCATGAGGTGCTCTGGAGCTCCCGCGGACAGCAGGTCATGATGCAGTGGGAGAAGGAATACATGGAGCTATGCGTTGAAGGGCTCGCTATTCAGCCGACGGACCGTGTACTGGAAATCGGCTTCGGTTTGGCTTATTCGGCGACTCACATCCAACGGTTCCGACCCAAAAGCCACACCATCATCGAATGCGATGAGGAGACGCTGCAACGTGCTCGCCAGTTTGCAATAAGCCACAGTGGAGTTGAAATTGTAGCTGGGACGTGGCAGCAGCAGCTCCCGATGCTGAGCCAGTTTGACTGCGTTTTCTTCGACGATTACCCGCTTCCAGAGCTTGAATTTGGAGGCCCTGATAGAGTACTCGGTGGACAGCGGTGAGTTGACAGACTACAAGCATATGATGTAGGGATGATATGTGGCACTGAGGGGTCTGCTATTATATTGCTGGTAGGTCACGGTGGCACGATTTCTTGGATGTTGCTCTGAAGCACTGTACGACTGGTGCAAGGATCACAGGATATCTAGCACGAAAACTGGATTTGCAACGCTCCGGGTGTCAAGTTACAGTATCGAGAGTACAAGTTGATGTTCCTGGACATTGCAAATATTTTCCACACAAAACTGCGCTCGTACCGGTGATCACTGTAGTGGATCCGATTGCAGCTGCGAGCCTGGAACCTGCTGGAATAGATGCGCTATTGACAACACCGCGCTCGTCCGAGAAGTTTCAGCGTGCATTCGAGTGTGCAAGTAGCTCTGAGCGAGGACTTCATTCAGCAGGGTTTCTACGAGAGCGAGAACAGATAACTGAGGTTCGGAATTTCTTGTTGGCTCATGAGCTCGGTGCGCTTCCGTACGAGCAGCGAGACGATAATGATCGCACAGGTGAAAATGATCGGCCTTTAGATGAAAGCAATCCATCCGGAGAGAATGAAAATGAAGAAGGATCAATTCACTACAACGACGAGAAGTCGCGACGGGAATTTTTGCGCACACTGAGGGGAAAGGCTGTTGCTTCAAAAGCTAAAACAACGTTTGGATGATGACAATGCTGCAGATGAAACCTGGTTGGACATTTTACTTGCCGAGCAGAAGTTTTTCCTCGTCTAAAATAATAATGGCTGACACTCAAGCGCTAACCTACAGTTTTTTGAAAGCTTTTTTTTTTTAAGAAGAGAGAAATCTCTTCACCACTATGTGCAGACCTATATGCATAGTAATGAATAGCTTTGAGCAGGAGGGAAGGCGGCGGTCCAGAAATTGCTGTAAAGGCCAGCAGTCTAAGATTTCGTGAAGACTGATCGTTAAATGACCGCTCAGATTCGCTGTTTGTCCGATCAAACGCCGAATTGTAAACCACGATTGATGAGTTTTGAGACGGTCTAATTAAAACTGTACCGCCTCACCTGAGGGTGGCCAGCCCACAAAAACTACCAAGCAACCCAGATCCGATTTCGGCACCTTCGACCTCGAATCTGCAGTTTTGCAAATCCTCGCTACACAGGTTACACTTGTACGCCCCGACTGAGTCTCGAGCCCAGGCTCATTTATGGTCTGTAGCACCAATCCTTTTGATATCTCCACGTCATGAGATTTGGTGGCCTCAGATTCTCTAGCAGCATTAGCGCTAGCCAACTGAATCCCGAGCAAACCTCGTCCCATATTTTGCTACAAATTGAGATGGCATCTGGTCATGTTTAGGAGTGCATGTATTATAGTCAGGTTGACTGTCAACCTGTTGCCGACCGTGTTGGCCATCATCCTAATAATGACTGGCACAAGAGCGCCCATCGACGTCCGTCAGGTCCCTTGTTGTCGATCCGTTTGCGAACACAAGATTCGCCGTTGCGCCGGAACAGTAAGATTCGAATCTAATTTTGATACGGAACCAGTGTGATAATGTCGTTATGTCTGGGCGATGGCGTTCACAACCGACACGAATCTGGCGCAGTATTGAGACGGTCACCGCATGCCCTGCACAGCAAGAGCGCCTCGTCAAACGACTTGTAGTTTCGGCGGCTCGGTTAATCCCGTTAACGGCAATTCATTCTTCGTTTTGCGAAGCTAACAAGAATGACCAGGCTACTGCTGGTACTGACCCTCGCGCTTGCGTTGGTCTTTTGTGCACTTACGTGTGCGCAATCCTTCACATTTAGCAGAAATGTATCAGCAGTACCAACAGCAACAGTGACCACTGCCAACTTCACGGCGAACGAGAGCAGGACAATCTCCAACAGAGCAGAAATAACCTTCAGGTCAGCCTTCGATGATGATGAGGACAGCGACGATGAGTCCGAGGATAGCCTAGACGACAACTCCACCGACAGCGATTCTTCAGACAGCTATGACGACAGTGATTCCTCTCTAGCCACGTTCTCTTTTAGCAACGCCTTGAACGCCACCAGCACCATCAAGTCCACTTACAAGAACTGGGTAGGCTCCGCTCTTGGCACGGCAAAAGACACAGCATGCTATCGTGAGGCTCACATTGCCAAGACGTGTCCGCAAGGATTCGACGCCAAGCTTGGGACGTGCTGGGCGCAGTGTCCGTTTGCTTACCCCGTCGAGTGTGGCATGGAGTGCATCCGACAAAACGACGACTGCGCACTTGATATCATCAGCAAAGTCTCTTCCGTGGGTCAGGCGGCCTTTTCCCTAGCTGCGTATAACGTGTACGGACAGTTCAAGTTAATGGCAAAAGGCATGCAGATTGCATTCAAATGCGCCAAAGAGATGATGGGATTGGCGAAAGCGATGTCCAAGTACACGCGAGCCGTCGAAGTGTCAGACCCGCAGACTGCTCAAGACCAGTTGCTGACGATCTTGTACCAGACAGACAACGTAGTGTTCGACATTCCAATCACAATTATGTCGTGTCTGGGAATCAAAGTAGAAGATGCATTCAAGTTCTCGGACAGACTTGTGAACACGATTGAGCTTGTCGTGAAAGATGTTATTGCCAACGGAGCCCTTATTGTTTCCAGTTGGAGTGCATTCACAAATTTTATGAAGAATATCACGTTGGGCGAGACGATCGATTCGCTGGACAAGTCGGAGATTACGTCTTTGGAGTCGGCCCTGGAATCCGACTCAACCTGCGGATACGACATGAAGCGATTGCTTGATCGAACGTGGATGACCGTAGCAGAACTGCGTCGACAGAACCCGAGAATCTCCGAGGACGATATCCGTGTTGCTATGAGCAAGTCGAACCTCGTGCTGTACGATATTCCGACTGTGACGAACAACTGCATGCAGGAGCTACTTGACGAGTCCGACGAGGCCACAGCCTATACGACGCGGGACACTCTGCGCAAAGGATTTGGGGGTATTGTAGACGACTTGATCAGCTCAGGAACGAGTAGTAACGGCACACTTCTTACTGCGGGACAATACGCGTACAAGATCGCTGACAAGGCAGCAACGTTCTATGCTGTTTGGGACAAAACGAACATCGGTGGAGCGATCTCCGAGTTTTTCCAGACCATCTGTGGCCCTACAGAGTATGTCGGTGAAATTGATGATGGTAGTGCGAAAGACGCGCTGGGTCTAAAGACTGTCAAGGCGGCTTTCAATAACAGCGCTGGCAACTGGACGAAGAAGGGTGACGGCTCTGTCATCATTACGTTCAAGAGTGTCGACACAAAGGATGTGACTGTGAATATCAAGTCTGGAGGTAACAAGATCGATGAAGTGTCCGTCGCGGCGGGTAAAACTGTGACGTGGAGATCAAATGTGACGGTTTTGGGCGGCAAGACGTTGTTTTTTGACCGCTGGCGCCCGGGCTTCCTAGGTCTCCCTGGTACGGGCGGTGGCTCACTGCTACTGTGGGTGCCTCGATCAACACAAGGCGGCAATCTGCGGCTTACCGCAATGCTCAATGTGAGCTGAGTTTAGTTTTAGAGTTTAGAGGAGAGAGATTTCCATTATTGTTTAGTGTAGTGAGTACCTCTGGTGTGAAGAAATCGTTTAAGTTATGCTAAAAGTGAATAGATAATAAGTCCTACTATTTATGCAGCGAGTACATGTACATGCATGACCTGAAATGTGTACTTGTAAGGAGATCGAGAAAAATTCTCGATCTCCCGTTTTGGCTCATTTATGGGAGTTGAGCACTTTCTTCAACGAAGTAATATTTAAGTTGTCTTAAAAAAGTTAATGTCTTGCATTTTTAGATTTGTTTTACAGGTTTTTTTAAGAAACCTATAAAACAAATTTAAAAATGATGCAAAAGCCTAAACTTTAAAAAAGCATCGTCGATTTTTGCATTATTACAGTTTTTTTTTTTCAACTTTGACTCAACTTAAGAAATTGATAGGCGAGGCCTCCATAAGATTCAGAGTGGATGTAACGCAGTTCAAACGATATTTTCTTGACGTGATTTGAATTAAATAAACGGAATGATTCTCAACACCACTGCTGAGCTCACAAGGCGACACTCCAGCGATTGACTTATATCCCAACGTCTGCAAGCAGGGGCTTATGGATGAATATCATCATTTCTCCGACCATACTTGAATAACATATTAGTATTAATGGCCAATCAGAAAGGATAGCCCGTATTTGGACGAATCATACATCGACTGTGCCAATATTTTGACTAATCAAAGCACGGTAGGGTCAGTATAGGTCGATAAGAGGCAGCTCCGACATATCGGGTCGGAGGCCCCTCTTGTGTTATTGATATCGGCATACAAACCTCCACTCATTAGCATATTTTGCGAATAGCACGCGAGCTCCGACCCATCCGACGCAAGATGAGTCTGAGCGACCTCGCACCGACAAACACGAAGCGCGCACGGGATGGCGCGGCACGCATGTTCAAAGCGTTTCTTGAGGAAGAAGGGGTGACATGGGAGTACCTAGAGGTGTGCATGAAGCGCGACAACGCTCCCCGCGTTTTGGAGGCCGTGGTGGACAAGTTTGGAATGCATCTCGCTTTCAAGGAAGGACGGAAGGGCAGCCTGTTGGCACTCAGTCATGCAGTACTACCGACAGGCAAAGAGCTGGTTGCTCGATCAGTTCCCACAGCATCGAGAGGCTGTCGGCAAGGTTCTCCTGAAGAAGGGTCAAGTGCTGGAGCGCTATTGCATGAAGCGAGAGTCAGGCAATTTTGTGAAGAAGGCACCTGCATGCACGAAGAAAGCACTCAAGCAGATGATGGTGTACCTCTATTCAAATGGTGTAACAGCTTCGGACTACCAAGACGCGGCGCTGCTGTGCTTGCTCTGGTTTCTGTTTGGCCGAGCCTCTGACATCTCGCTACTCCGGAAGGTGAACTTATCCATCGGTTCGGGGGGGAATATTTTTCCTGAGGCTGATCCGTGTCAAGACGTCCGAAGAACAAGGTCTCTCTCTTTTTCCCGACGACGACTTCGCCACGTGTCCGCTGCTAGCTATCGCTGTGGCTCTTGCAACTCAATCGGCACCGGCGGCTGCGCTGCTAAACCACCTCCCTGAGCAACAAGTGGCGACCGAAGCTTCCCTAACTCCGGCAGCACCACTGATCGATCTGATCGATAACCCAGAAGCTGTCGCTCCACTCAACTCCACCACAGATGAGAACAAGCCGCTTGACGACACTACTGGAATCCACGGCTACGTGAATCGCGTCTTGACGAGAATAATGCCTGAAGCTGGTGTTGTCCAGCGCTTGACGTCACATTCGTTTAGACGCGGTGGCGCACAACATGCGAATAGTGTTGGCATGTGTGTGCAGTGGATCTTCGATAGAGGCGCGTGGAACATGACGGCAACCAACAAGGCCTTCGCATACGTCTTCAACACCCCAGCTGAAGATCACAAGGTGGCTCGTGTTTTGAGTAATCGAGGACCAGATGACTCCGTCGCTTTGCTGTCACTTGATGTATTCGACTCTCATACCCGGCAAAGTATTCGCTTGGTCTCTTCAGCTTTATTCACGTCTTCGTCCGGAATGGAATCAGAGCAGTACAACGTTAACGCGGCTGTACACGACACTCTCATGGCTTACCTTCTGCGGCACTATCCGTCACTGAAGACTCTATCGACGTCCGGTCTTGTAATTCAGAGCTTGGAAGCTTGTGTCGAGGATAAAGGCTTCGCTGTAAATCATCTGCTTGCTTGGTCGGCGTACCTCAGTAGCAACCCAAGTACTGCTGGGAGACTCTAAAAGCAAATTTGCACAAGACAACCCAGACGACATCACCCAGCATCCAGTATATTTTCAGCAAACAGCATTGATTGAGCAGTTAATCCAGGTCAACAAGAAGCTTGACGCTCGGTTGACTGTAATGGAAGCCATAATCGGAAACAAACACCCACGCGCGCCTACAAAACCAGAAGAAAGTGAGGACTCAAGCGAGAAGAAGTCTCCAGGAAAGCGACGCCGTACCTCTCCAGCTCTAAGCTTCAAGGATGTCTGGTTCGCGTGGTACACTCAAGAGCCGCGCATGTGGAGCTTGACGGATGCTGAAACCAAGCACACACGCTCAACAGGCAAGCAGGTCGTTGCGTTCTTGAAGCTGTTCCTTTACGATGGCTTTGTCTTGGACAAGCACTCTGCTCGCTACCGCGACGATGTTCTCGAAACAGGAAGCCTTGCTGAGAAGGCAATGCTGGCGTTCTTACAGCAGCACAACGTCACTGCCCGCGGAGCGCAAAACGTCCTGAAGTCCATGCGGAAACTACACAAAGCTGGCCAACTGAATGAGCACATTGGTAAGTACCTACAACGTCGAGCTCAAGGTCTCATCATGGATCCTGCTCCTCCGCATACTTGCAACACGATCGGGTTAGTGACCATGAAGTAATTAGTAAAAGCACCCACCTTTCTGGTCATGTCCAGTCATATTTTGCGAAGTTTTGCGCGCTGCACTCTCTGCTGTTCACTCTTCCTTTTGTTCTCAAACCTTGACACCTCAGCCTCGGATGCCTACCAAGAAGCCAACCAAGAGCGGCATTAGCTCTGCGAAAGAGTTCAAGACCCTGTGCATCGCTGTGGCCAAGTCTTGCAAGATCCGGGTTAGTGATGAAGCTATTCGTCACCTTCGACTTACCATGAACATTACCGTCGCCTCTACCAGCCTGCTTCCTGAAGCAATTCAAGCCGTCTTCACCTCGTTGGCTGAGCGCAAGATCCAGCGGGCAAAGCTTGTCGACATCCGCGAGTGGCTGGCTCTTCCTGCTGTCGACAACGACGAGGTGGACGGTGACGAAGATAGCGAAAGCGAGAAGATCCACTACGTCCGCAAGATCTTGAACTGGAAACGCGTTAAGGGCAAAACGTACTGCCTCGTCGAGTGGGAGTCAACTTGGGAGCCACGCGAGCACTTGAGCCAAAACATCGTCGCCGCGTTCGAGAAGGAGCGTCGCTTGCTTGTGCGCAAGAAGTTCTTTGAAGACGAGGCTGTGGAAGACAACACGCTCAACATCACGGAAGGATAAAACAAAACAAGATCTAGTGAGGCGCAAACGGCTTCGTATTACAAGTTTAGAAAGTGTTAATGAGTAGAGAGACTTGAACAACAATGTTAACCGCTGACAATAGAACACAAAGCTTAACCTCCTAACGGAACAGCAATGTTAACCTCCATCATCATAGCACACAGAGTTTAACGCAAGACGGCTACACAACACACACACTCGCACGCACACGCGCATACACACACAAACACGCAAGAACACACTCACTAATGGCTTGCGTCTGACGGCTGAAAAATCGTGAATGACAGAAAAATCTGTTTGTCGGCCACTCTTAACCACCAACTTGGTAGGAGGCCACGTGTCGGGGTAAATACGCGCAGGCGTAAAAACGGAATTTTTACTAATGCTCTTTTTAGTGGACCCCGATTTTGGGTGGCGCCCTCATTTCTCAAATTGCAGCCTGTAGTGCACAAGGCTCTGTAGCTTAAAATCATGCGTTTTTATTTTTTGCCTGTTTCTCTGCCCACAGACCGTTTCAGAGCCTGTGAGTGCGCCTATAAACGTGCCGTTTCGGCAATTTCTAGCATAGACAAATCTGCACATGGTCTCTAATTACCCTACCCACAATTACCTTTTAACTTCTTTTAAGTCCGATCTCGTCCCTCCTCTACCGTCGGAGCTCGTCGGAGGTCGGAGATTTTTTGGTATAGATGAATATGATTAGCTATCGGACCATACTTAATTTTTGTATGACCTCTGGGCACCTATAAATGGCCAATCACATCATTTTTACGCATTTCAACCAATGGCCGAAGCTTCACTCAACATTCTTGTCCATTAATTTCGCCTAGGGTTAGGTGAGTCCTCTAAGCCATTCGATCGGACGTATCGAGTCCGATCGCAGCTCAAAATATGTATATGTCAATGCAAATAGTAGGTCAGACACGTACCACTCCCATATTTGCACAGCATCGGACGGAAGCGATGGGCCTGGACGAGCTCCAGCCTGGCAACACTTTGAGGGCCAAGGCTACAGCGTTATCTGCCTTCAAGAAATTTCTGAAGGCAGAGGGCGTTGTAGAGGAGTACGTAAGAAAATGCATTGAGCGCGATGTCAGTGGAAGATGTTTTGTATCTGTAATGGATAAGTTTGGAATGCATCTTGCATTTAGTAAAGGCAAAAAGGGCAAACCTTTAGCTAGAAATACTGCCATGCAGTACTATCGGCAAGCCAAGCTTTGGCTGCTTGACCAGTTTCCCCAGCATCGTGCGTCTTTAGAGACCCGATTACTTAAAATAGGGAAAACGCTTGACAGCTTCTGTTTAAAGCGCGAGGGTGGTGGTTTCGTTACAAAGCACCTCCATGTACGAAGTCCGATTTAAAACAAATGCTTGTATATTTGTATACCAATGCTTCCTGTGATACTGACTACCAAGATGCTGCTCTGCTTTGTCTTCTTTGGTACCTCTTCGGCCGCGCGTCGGACTTGTCGATGCTGCGGACGCGGAACGTCAGCGTCGACGCGGGCGGCGTACTCTTCTTGCGTCTGATCAAGGTGAAGACGAGCGAGGAGCAGGGGCTCTCGCTTTTCCCGGACGAGGAGTTCCTCACGTGTCCGTTGCTGGCCTTGGCTCTTGCCTTGATTGTCCAGCGAGCGCCCTCGGATGACTTGGTCGGCAACCTTCCCCGCCAAGAAACCTTGACAACGGCCACGATCTCCGACAATGTATCGCTCGTCGAGCTCCTGAATGCCCCCGCCGCGCCATCGACACTCTCTGTCCCAGCCACCAAAGGATCGCCGTCGACGCCGACGGTGTACTCGCACGTCAACCGCGTCTTAGAGCGGATCGCCCCAGCTGCTGGCGTCACGAAGGCACTCCGTTCGCACTCGTTTCGCCGCGGGGGAGCTCAACACGCGAACGGCTCTGAGGGATTGACGGACCGCTGGATCTTCGACCGAGGTTCCTGGAACATGAGCACAACGAACAAGGGTTTCAACTACATCTTCAACACGAGCAAGGAGGATCACAAGGTAGCCAAAGTCCTCGCAGGATACGAACCGAAGACGAAGGTGAAACTCCAGGACCTCAGCAGCTTCGACTCCCAGAGACTTGAGCAGATCAAGCGCGTACAGGACGTGATGTTCATGTCCTGCAGCAACCTCGCAACCTCCAGCTTCAACGTCAACAAGCAGGTCGTGGACATCCTGACTCCGGCCGTCTTCCGATACTTCCCGCTGTTGAAGGAGCGGAGCCACAGCAGTCCAGTCGTCACGCGGGTCGAAGGTGCTGTGCGAAGCGGTGGAAGCACGCTGGCGGATCTTCTTGCTTGGTCTGCGCATCTCTCACTAGCAGCCGAACCCTGTAGCAACAAGCAAACTCCGTAGAACGACACTACCCACCAAGCACAGCAAACGAAGGAGCAGAAGATCATCGATCACCAAGCTTCTGTTATTAAGCACTTAATCGACATGTCGAAGCGGCAAGACGAGCGGATGGACGCTCTGGAGGCCAAGCTGAACAACGTTCCTGTCCTGACCAGTAAGCGCAGCAAGCCAAGTGAAAAAGAGGGAGAGCAAGAAGTCAGCACACCAAAGAAGAAGCAGCGCAGGAGTGGGGCAACTCACCTTCACGCCACTTGGTTTGCTTAGTATGCCCATGAGCCACGATGGCACGCGAGCGAGCCCAAGCGACAGCGCTCGAATGCGAAGCTGCTGGTTGCGTACATGAAGCTGTTCTTGGCCGACGGATTTGGGCTGGAATCAAGCGCTGTCAGCTACCGCGACGACGTCCTTGCCCTCGGTTTGCGCGCGGAGAAAGAAGCTCTCTCCTTCCTGGCTCAGCATAAGATCGCGTCGCGCGGGTCCAGCTCCGTCCTCAAGCATCTCCAGGCCCTGCACAAGGCTGGCGCACTCAATTGCCAAATAGAGCGCCACCAGCGTCTGCTCCATTCGGCAGCTGTCCAAGATCCTGCACCCGGCTACACACAAGACGTCGTTGAGTTAGTTGGTTAGATGCATCACTAGCACAGCAAACAATACACGTTAGTCAACCTTTGAACAACGCAAAACAACACGTATTATTTGTCAGACAATCAGAACAAAGAGGAGGGACAAACCGCACTGCTGCAGGGGAGGGGGGCACGAGCGCGGGCAGCAGCATGAGCAGCAGGCGCGGCACAAACACGGGGTCAGCAGCGTGGGCAACAGGCGCGGCACGAGAACGGCTGCAGCAGCGCGGGCAGCAGGCGCAGCACGGGTGCGGAACAACCTCCACCCCCAGCAGACGCGAGGAGCGATGAACCCAGCCGGAGTTGAACCGGTGTCCAGGACGGGTCCTGCGCTCTAACCCTAGAGCTTCTGGGTCCGATGAACGGGGGGGGGGGCGGAGGCTTGCCAGGTACGGAGTGAAAAAGACCGAATGAGCGAAGAAGGCTGTTGTCGGCACGACCCTTCAGCTTGTGGCCATCCACTGGCCACGTGTCTTTCCACCTTGTATGTGGCAGCATCTCATTGGTGGCTTATTAGCCGATAGCGGCAAGCATCAATGGCTGGCTGAAAAGCGAATGCTTTCAATAGTGGACCCCGCCGCTGGCTCATTGTTATATTTACCGGACCAAGAGCGCATGGCTCTCGGTCAATAATTGCATGTTTTCGTTTTTCTCGTTTTTCTCAGCCTACAGAGCCTGTGACTGGGCCTATCAACAGGGCCCTTTTCATCGTTTTTCAGGTTGCAAAGTATCCACACCTTCCCAACCTATCTCCCCTAATCACTTTAGTACGACACACCAATGTATCCATCCCATCATGTACCACTCGCTTGGTGCAGGTCCTACAGGTCCGAGGGTCCGATATTTTTTGGTATGGTAACCCAGTATCATTCGATATTTTTGATAGGAATAGTACTATTATTTGATTTTAAATATTAATAGTAGGTTTGTTTTTGAGCTCGCAATTTGGCTAAATATTAGCTCAGAGGTTTGAAAAATATTAGATTCAAGATGATATTTTTTAAATTCCCACTTAAGTACGTTTCTTACCTCTTGTCCGAGGGCTTACCAAAGAACTCTTTCGGTCGCTCTAAAGCAGCAGTAGTGATAGCAGGCTTTAAAACTGGAGTATTTTCCCTAGTATTTCACTGTGACACAGACTAAGCCGATCGAGATGGAGAACTGCAAACGGCTGCAGTTGCCCTGGGTCTTTGCAAAGCATTGGCAATTAGACCTTTATTGGCGATGGCTCAAATTAAGCCTCAATCACTACGTGATGGATCATTGTCAAGTCCAGTGGCAGCATAAACGACAAAGTGGAGGTTCGTGCTTGTGGGTGTGGGTGTGGGGCCTCCACTGGGGGGGGGTAAAAATCTGTATCTAGGTTTCCTGTGTCCACGGTTCAGGTGGAGGCTAACACAAAGCGGAAGTTTGCAGGGCCGCCTAACTGTAAAAAGATTTCAAGCTGTCGTTTGCCATGGTTCTGATAAATTAGGTACTTCAACGTGCTTGCATTCATTCCACGACGATTTCTATTGTGATGACATCCCTTTTCGAAATGATTTCAAGCCAATCTCGGTCTTTGAACCGGTATCATCCTTGCATTTCTTTCCTTAGAAACAGTGAGACATGGCGCGATGCACACAATCAATTCTCATGCCATCCGTCCTCTGGAAGTCACACGGTTTTTCCCTTCAAACAGGATTTCGCTCTGCTTGAAGAAGGAGATTGAACGAAATCATGCGACCCCTGCACGCGCTGCTGGTGAGTCTGGCGGCTGTGTCGGCCGTCACGAGCGCCGAGCGCAGCATTCGCGACCCGGAGGCGGCTGAGATGCCGTGCCACCACGACCAGGACGGAGAGAGCGAGGACATTACCATGGGCCTCATGGGCGTTCTGAACGAACAAATTCAGCGCTCGGGAGAGCTACTGCAGCGCTTCTTTAGCCTTGACGAGACTCAAGACGACGCCGTGCGCGTCATCGTGATTGAGGAGGAGGAAGACCCGGCGCTAGAGCGAAAACGTGCGTGTCTAAAGGCACTGGAGAGAATTCACGAGCAAGACGAACTGCAGGCCGAGACAGAGACGCTCTTAAAGCTCTTCCGCTCGGCTGTCGACATGGTATCGCTCCAGGTTTGGGGTGAAGCGTCATGCGACGATCTCGAGCGTGCGGACTTGGTGGAGCAGGTGCGGAATAAACAATTATTGTTTGCGAGGCTTCAATTATTGTTGAGGAGAAAAGGTACTAAATTATTGGTAATTGCTTATTGTAGTGCAACGTCGTCTTGAAGTCGGAAGATGTGGCGAGGAAGTTCCTGCAGGAGGGTAAGACGGACGAAGAAGTGTGCGACATCATTTCGGCCGTCTTGGACCTGGAAGGAACCGACAACTTGTCCTGCAAATTATGCCAAAGATTTGTGCAAATGATCGACCAGGCTCTGGCCCAGCAAGTGCAGCAGGTGCAGCAAGTCCGAGCCATTATCGGAGACCTGTGCGACGCCATGTCACCCGACTCCATGTGCCACACGTTCCTCAAGAACTACGACGCCATCGTGGACTGGCTCATCCACGGCACTGACCCTCTAGTGGTGTGCGCTCGGATCGCCATGTGTTTGTCGGACAGCAACAGCGACAGCCAAGTCTTAGACCTGCCATGGTCTCCTGAAGATCCTCAGACGGCTGAGTATGGCGCTCTGGTTACCGCTGACGTCACTGACAACGACCAGTCGTGTTTCTTCTGCAGCCACGTGGCCGGCGTCATTTACCAAGTCAATGAACTGATCCCTCAACAGCTTCCAATGTTTAAGTCTGTGTTAGGAGCGGTATGCGAGATGGCTTCACTGGAATCCAAGTGCAAGGAGGTGGAAACCAACTTTGACAGCATCATGGAGCTGGTCCAGCAAGGCCAACACCCTCAAGAGATCTGTGGGGACACTGGTTTCTGCGCTGTGAAGCCTGTGCGTGATACTTCACCGTTAAATGGGGACAAGACGTGTGTGTATTGCGACGTAGCCACCACTATCGTCGAGGTCATGTTGCAAGAATCTCCTGAGCAGATTGACCAGATCCGCGACTACGCTGACATGATTTGCGGCATGTTGGGAGACGACAGTCCATGCCACTTGTATGTGGACCAATTGGACACTGTGGTCGATTCTCTGAAGAAGGGTGTGCACCCTCGTGACATCTGCAAGGCGCTGAAGTACTGCATCACGGAACCCGTAAACAGTCTCGGTGAACTCGAGAACCCTCGTGTTGGTATGATGCGAAACGGCCCTCGTGGTATGCACCACCACGTGGGGATGGTGGGGCCTGGAGGTCGTCATGGGCGTCATAACCACGCAACGATGGCGGAAGATGACGAGCACTCGCCGCGTCCTCTTCACTGTCGTCATGGCAGTTGCTTCTTCTGTTCGCGTGTGGCTGTGGTGATCCATCACGTCAACCACACGTCGCCAGAGAAGTTGCCGATTGTGAAGAACATCCTGTCGAATGTATGCCAATTGGTGCCTGCAAAGCTCAAATGCGACGTTGTGGACAAGAATTTCGACAAAATTGTGGAAATGGAGAAGGAAGGCAAGCGTCCTCACGAGATCTGCAAGTCTCTCGGTGTCTGCAAGAAGGCGCAAGACGCGGAGGAAGACGAACCTTCCATCGCTGACGAGATGAAGGGCGTGGTGGTGGCGTCTCAGTGGCCTCCTGGAAATGCGACTCAGTGCACGTACTGCCAATTCGCTACCACAGTTGCCAAGATTGCGCTCCAACAGTACGGCACTGACATCCGTCAAGTCCGTGCATACGCTGACATGATCTGTGATATGCTGGGCGCCGAAAACCCGTGCCATGTGTACGTGAAGCAGTTCGACTTTGTCATTGATGCGATCACCAAGGGTATGAGTGCCAAGGCGATTTGTCTAGAGCTGAAGTTCTGCACGGCCGCGGCGCTACCGTCTCCCAGCAACGAGCTGTCGTTCTACGACCCGGTGCTGGTGCAATTGGTGCAGGATTCCATGACGCTGTCAGTTAATGGATGCTTCTTCTGCACGCAAGTGGCGTCTGTCATCGAGGTGGCTGTGGCTCAAGATCCAAGTAAGATCGAGGAGATTCGACAGATTGCCGACGTCGTTTGTGGAATGCTCCCGAGCGACAACCAGGTATGAGGAGTCTTTGGACGCGGGCTCTTATCTCCAATGGCTAATGTTTGTTTGTGATGTTGTAGTGTCACGCATTCGTGAAGCAACTCGACACGGTGGTTGACTCTCTCCAAAAGGGCGAGCAGCCGAAGGCTATTTGTCATGACCTGCAGTATTGTAAGGTGGACACCAACCCTGCTATGGCTAAGCTTACTGTCCCCGAAGTGATCGCTGTTCAGAATAACGAGGGAGGCAACACGTGCGCGTACTGCAGCGGTGTGGTTACTGTGCTTAAGTTTGCGCTCGCTCAGAAGCCGGAGCAAGTCAAGGAGATGCGTGAAGCTGCAGGCATCGTGTGTCATCTGCTTCCTGCTGACGACACGGTACGCAGGGCAATATTTGACTCTCTTTGATGGTTTAAACCTTACAGTTTTGAGTTGTGTGCTAGTGCCACGACGATCTCAAGATGTTTGATGAAGCTGTGACTGATCTACACGCCGGAAAAGAGCCTCAAGAAATCTGCCAGACGCTAAAGTTCTGCTCTGCCATGGAGAATTCCAACGAGTTGGTGTCGGGTCTGCTTGACTTCACTGGATCGGACTTCAAGCCTTCAAGATGCACGACTTGCCAACAAAACACACTTTTACTGGCCTCTTTGATCACGCGGCCGGACGGCTTAGCGACGTTCGAGCGTGGGATCAACTCGATTTGCCGATTGATCCCCGAGTCCAGCGAGGTAAAAGTGCAGCCTCTCTTGTCTTAAGAATAACATGAAGCTAACGACTTTTGTTTGAATTAAATGTAACAGTGCGAGCTGCTTATGAAACACCAAGACGCGATCATTGATTCGCTCAAGAAGAACGAAGATGTGGATACCATCTGCACGCGTATTGCTGAGTGTGAATCTGCGGCTGTGGCCGAAGTGCCGGAGCAGAAGTCCATGTCTGTGGGCTGTCTGTTCTGTGAGTACACTGCCGACCTCTTGGAGTACGCCAAGAACAATGACAAGGCCCTAAGGGAGGCCAAGATGACACTGGAGACCATGTGCACGGTGCTGCCTCCGCGTGCTCGTTGCGATGCGCTTTCTTCCAAGTTCGACGAGTTGGTGTCGCTCATGCGCGAAGGAAAAAGTCCAAGCCAAGCGTGCCACTCCATCGCTCTGTGCGACGCAGACTTTGTCTTCTCCGGCAGTCGTGGGGAAGATCCTATTGTGCAAGCCTTCGAGGAAGGTCGCAAGAGCATGGGCAACTTGATGGAGATCCAGTAACTGGAGAGAGTTGTTTCTTTCATACACGCGAAGGGGGCGCGCTTTGTTGTGTAAGTTGACGATCATCGCTCTTGCCCATTTTTTTCTTATCCCAAGTTAACAAACTGCAAAAAAATCTGATTAAAAAACGCATTATTCTTTAATGAAAAATCTGCAACTGATCTCGTGTAGAAATTTTTCGGTCGGTGTCCAAATAAAGTGTGGCAACAAATTTGCCAGACGCAAAGTGTTGAGCTTCGTGTTGAGCGGGGATGGGTACCCCAAGTCAACTTGAGCTCGTGATGTCGGCGCAATGTGTCTAGATATCGCAGTAATTGCAGTCGGGTTGTGCGTTGCAGTGACAGCAAGATACTTGTTTGCAAGTTCCACGCGCGAGAGTGCATCAATGCCTCCTATAGTCAGTAAGAGTATTAGTATTGATTGATCCACGTTCGGTACACTTGTTGCTGACGTACCGACGTTGACAAGAGTAGTGTGTTCTTTTAAATTGATCGTTAGCAGCTCAATCAATAGATCGACCAAGTCGAAGACGTAGAGGTACGAACGGAACTCGTCACTCCAGAGTTTCAGTGGTGTAGCAGTCTCGAGCTGGAATAATTGGTGGTGAAGCCATTCCATGAACTTCGGTGCACTTCTGTCGGGAAACAGCGGAGCTGTCGGTCCAACGACGTTGGCAATGCGAAGAATTAGAGCTTGCAAGTTTGTTGAGTTAGGGCGATTTTGCAGGAAATGATCAAAGCGCAGCTTGCCCACTCCATACACCGACAGGTCCGGCGATGAGACTGCATCGTCTTCTTTGTAGCTCGTTCCCTGGGGTTTAGTTCCTTCGTAGACAAAATCCGTCGACAAATGCACAAATCTAATGGGCCATGGCAGCTCGTCCAACAAGGCCACCAAACCTCGAGGCTGTAGACAAAGGATTCAGCGCAAAATGATTATAGGACGGACACAAACTCCAACATTCTTAACAAGTGTTTTGCTCCTCGTTGACTGCGCTTGCCCTCTCAGGTTCCTTCTGACAAACTGCAGGCGACGAAATCGCTGCGCAACATTAAAAAAAATCAGCAGCTATTGTCAATTTCTAGTTCCTACCTCAACATGATAACAATTTCTACCCGTGCAATTGATAACCACCGTCGGACGGAAGTCGTCGATGCATTTATTTAACGCTTCTAGATCCATCAAGTCTACTTGCCAGTAAACAGTCACAGTTTGCTTCGACTCGGAAAAGGAATCAGAGTTCGCCGTGATGAACCCTGCTGGGAGGGGTGCAAATGGCTGGCTGCGAGTAGTGCACGCCACAGCCTCAACCTCCTTCACTGTATCCTCATCCACCACTCGAAGTGTTGCGTACTGCTGCAAGCGCTGCAGTACGAACTGCGCCACGTAGCTCGTTCCACCGAGCACTAACACCCGCGTCTTCATTGTCAGATGCAATTTGCATCATGCAAATTGCATTTGATCCAGACTAATTTCTAGACTAATCCAGATTTCGTCACAAATCAGTTTTCAGCAACTGGGCAACAATTCGACGGAGAAATCAGGGCCTTTAAACTGTTTTTATTAATAATTCTTAGTAATTGACTGTTTCCAAATGAAACTTTTAAATGCAGAGATTCAAGAATTGCAATTTATGCACCATCGTGATAAAGGTTCCTCCGACTCCGTATTAACTGTAAAAACCAGATAGTTAGTCGAAAAAAAGGATTCTACTGTTAGGAAGGAAACTTGTAAAATCCAGATTATTTCAGATTTCGTCACTAACCATTTGAAGATGGCGGCTGTGCAGGGCTTCACGGAGATGGCGCACCAAGTGGGCGGCCACGCTACAGCCAAAACGAGTAATGATGTCTACCACGGCTTCTCTTATATATCGGCTAGCGCCGGTCTTAATCGTGCAATTATTACCGTGATTGGCAGGTCTGAAGGCCTACAATGGCCGCATCTTGAAACCTTTCCAGAGTAAGCAAAGGGGAGAACGTGAGCGCGAGTTCTACGAACGCGTGTTCGCGACTGAGAAGGATTCGCTCGAGTTTGCAGCATTAAGTAAGTTCCTGCCGAAGTACTACGGCACAGTAATCGTTCCCGAACCCGAGGACGGCCAGGAGACCAATGGTGTGCACCCGGGACGTAAGTAGATCTGTCGATTTCGAGTTGAAGACGACTATTAATGACTCAGCGATCATTGCTGTGCGCAGAGTATTTGATTCTGGAGGATCTAACGTGGGGAAGAAAGTGGCCTTGCATCATGGATGTCAAGATGGGGACCAGATCTTACGAAGACAATGCGACATCCGAGAAGATCGCGTACGAGAAATCCAAGTTCCTTTTGCAGGAGACGGTGGGGTTCCGTATCCAGGGCATCAAAGTATTTAACCCCAAGAAGAAGGGCTACGATGAGTTCGACAAGCATTTTGGTCGCGGTATCTCGTCGGTGGGTCAGCTCGCTCCAGCTTTCCGTAGCTATTTTCCAGCGGAGGATGCCAAGACCATAAAGTTGTTGGAGGCGGTGAGTTTACTGTGAATATTCGGCTATGACGCTCTCTTTTTCTTATTTGTTACTCTCTATTCTGTCGACTCAGTTCTTGCGTCGCCTTGGCCAGTTGAAGGCGTGGTTCGATGAGCAGCGAGGGACCGAGTTCATCGCCAGTTCCTTCCTCTTCCTCTACGACGGCGAGGAGTCACCCAACGACGACAAAACCGCGGCAGAGGACTTTGGAGCCGAAATCCGCCTCATCGACTTTGCCCACGTAACGAAACCAACTTCTCCTAAGCACGACGAAGGACTACGAACGGGTATTGCCACTTTGATCAGTTGTTTCCAGACCCTTCTAAACCAAGCACAAACCTAGAAAGATTGCTTCACAAATTACAAACGAACCCAGAGTCATCTGCGGGTCTGTTAAAAGTCGTCCAACAGCATGAAAATCTCTGTGTAAGACTGCACCATGCGCTACTTGTATCGATGGTTTCACATCTTCAGACAGAGACTTTCAGCATGGTCTAGTTGAAGCTGTAAAGTCGATGGAAAAAAACCGTTTCGAAAAAAAAGAAACGTATAATATAGAATTGCACACCAAGAGAGCTTGCCCCAGTAACGGCGTCCATTTAGGCTTCTTCGAGATCTCGACAGCAGCTTCATCCCATGCGTCCGCAGAGCACAGTCCAAGCGGAGAACCAGCGGGACGCGGCTGACTACAGGACGGAGTTGGAACATCTACTGCACGTCTACGAGCCCGGCAACGAGGCGTCCGCCGCGCAACTGCTGGAGACGTACGCGGGTATGGAACACGAGCTTATTGAGTGCTATCGACACTATTACGCCGGCAAAGGCAGCTTCCGCGTCGCCCTGGACGATAACCAGGACGTCACCGGCTCGCCGCGCGCTGGGCCGCTGCATCTGCCCACGTCCGCCATCGGTACCTATCTTCAGGCCAAACTGCAGTCGAGACGGGGCGGCGCTGCCCGCAACGCCAAGCTTGAAGATGTGCGCGGCCCCACCGCAGCCGAGAGTCCTAATAGAAGACACTTCGCAGCTGTCATGCCGCGACGACGAGCCATCAGCTTCACTGCTAGTTTGCGAAACGGAGACGAAGACGAGACTGGATTGCTTTCACGACGACAGACGTCAGCTCATAGGATATCCGCCCCGGACAATTATGAGAGCAGTGTAGGTGAACTAGCTCGATAAACTGTAACACGTTGATCTTTAATGCTTTCTCTGCGGCCTTTGGCGCTGCCCCGTCGAGGCACTTGACTCGCACCGAAAGTGTCTGGGCTTGTACAAGCAAGAGAAGGGCGAGTTGGTGCTGGTTGCCGACTTTTGCACAACAGGGGCAACCAAGATGTTGGTGGTGCCGCTGTACAAGGGCTGAGGCAACAATCACTCATAGACAACAAAAGGCAACTTCAAGAATTTCAAAAAAGCAAGCTCTCAACTTATTAATGCGGATACTGGTTTTGTGCGTCAATCCTTCCTTTTTTATGGCTTGATCAAAACTGGTTGGGAGGAAGGTTACGTTACCCAAGCCGACGGCATCAAACACGTTGCTGCGGCATTCCTCGAGGACGAGGAGCTCCGATCCATGGTGGGTTGTTTCTATCTCTATTACAGCAGCGCGGTCGGCTCACTACGTCGCTCGCTTGCACTCGGTCTCGTCAGCTTCGTCTCATAATTGTGCGACGTGCAAGGAAAGCAGACTCATTCGGCGACCGCACTTGGCACTGCTGGGCTTATAACATCTGCATCTGCTGTTGCTGTTGTTGTTGCTGTTGTTGCTGAATGTTGTGCATCTGATGCGGGGGGTACCCGTTAGCTGAGTAATACATCATGCTCTGCTGCTGTTGGGACGAAGGCTGGTCTCCAGATCCAGAAGCTTGCGGGGGCTGCGGACTGTAGTATCCACGGCCTGCTTGTTGACCGTAGGCCGCAGCGGCGGCGGCCGAGTCTGCAGGACTAAGATGGTGGTGGTACTGTGACGACTGGGCAGGGTACGGGTGGTGGTGGCCAGGCTGCTGTTGCTGTTGTTGTTCCTTGTTCACATCGAAATAGTCGACCCTTCCGTCCGGGTGATGTTGGGGCATCTCCGGCTTGGTGGCCCAGTGTTGCGAGTACGGGTTCTTCATCTGCTCGGGGGCAGTGCGCGAGGCGTAAGCCTGACGGTCCACCGCGGCTCCAGGCTTGTACATACTACCCGACACCGGAGGCAACGCACCGTTGTCCACAGGCACGTGGTAACGAGCAGCGGCCCCAGCCTGCAGACTGATCGGCTCATACGAACGCTGGTCGGCGTGAATCTGCAGGTACTGGCCATTAGCGGTAGGCTCGTAGCCCTTGTAGCGCATTTCCATCTCCACGCGCTGCTGCACGTACGCAGCGCGCTGTGGGTCGAGGTGCGCGTCGCGCAAATCCTTGACACCCATCGCGAACGTCGGCGTGGTAATCTGTCGCATATCCATCATGTGCTGCGGCAGCGAAGCAGCCGTAGCAAGCTGGTCCTTGGGGAGCTTGCCCTTGGCGGCGTTGGCGTGATACGAGCACTTGCCTTTCTTACGTGCTGGCTTGTTGCATGCAGGGTGGTCGCATCGTTTGCCGCCGCCGTGCTCGGCGCAGAAGCCTCCGCCACGGTCGTTCTTGGTGCAGTCAGGGTGCTGGCAGAAGCGACTTCCGCCGTGACCAGCGCAGAAGCCGCCGCGCTGAGCACCTTTGTTGCATCCTTCCTTCTCGCAGCGCTGGCCACCGCCATGAGCACGACAGAAGCCGCCACCCTGAGAACTTTTTGTGCATCCAGGGCTTTGGCAACGCAGGCCACCGCCGTGGGCCTTGCAAAGACCGTTGGACTGGGACGCCTTGGTACAGCCAGGCTGCGTGCAGCGCTTGCCACCGCCGTGGCGAATGCAGAGACCCTGGCCCTGACTGCTACGCTCGCAGCCGTCGACCATACAGCGGCGGCCACCGCCGTGCGCTTTGCATAGGCCCTTGGAGCGCACACGCTTGGTACAGCCGGGCATGGTGCAGAGGCGGTTTGATTTGAGAGACTCGTTGCGGGCTGGAGCGGCCCCGTTAGTCTTAGCCGCCGTTAAAGAGGACGAGGAGGCTGGCGTAGGTGCTGTGGACGTCTGGGTCTGGACCTTGGCGACGCTGGTGGGGGACGTACTAGCCGATGTGGCCTCGGTCTTGAGGCGCAGGTTGGACGAGTCCTTGTCCGAGGTGGGGACCGAGCTGGTCACGGGCTTGCCGGCTAAAGCCGTACCACTAACGGCAGCCATAGAGTTGTGCACGGCCTGGTCGTGAAGCGCGCGCTCCTGGGCGTACTGCTGGTAGGAAGCCGGGTCGTAATTGAAGGCCTGGGAGGCGTCGAGCGTGGCGGAGCTGGGATCTTGCGGCTGCATGGTGGACGAGGACTGGGTCGCCGAGGACGTGGACGTGGGGGCCATAAAACTAACTGCCCCTGCTCCAGCAGAAAAAATACTTGCAGACTCGGAGACGGGCACCGCGAGACGAAGACGAGCGAGGCGAGTGGAGTACCAACGGCCTGGTAGGAATGGTAATAAGCGCAGGACGACCACTCACTCCTGGCCGGGGGGCAGCCGCGCCGCGGCGGCTAGGGGAGCAGTTTGCGTCTGATTGTGTGTCGATACACCAAAAACGCTGGCTTTTCTCTTGAGACAGATATGGCGGTTCGCTTGACCGAAGGCAGAAATAGATCGTTGCAGGCTGCTAAGCGACCTCCCCAAAGATAGCTTCGGCGATCTCGCTCGTTGCCTACTTTGAATCAACCTAGCGAAGCCACTTCGTTCATCTGGCCGAGAAGTGGCCTTCCAATTACGGCCAACGACGCAAAGGCACGACAGTTTCAGATCCCTTTACGTGTCCCAGCCCATCCTCGACAAGAGAGCAGCGGGGCTCAACCAATCCGCGCGCAAATCGGACTTCTGCGGGCCCGGCGCTGATTGGCCGAATTCAAAAATTGGCCAAAATGCAGCAAACTGTATGTGAGCTCCGCGAGAACAGCAGCAACTCCTTCGCGATGTGAAAACCTTCTTTCTACTACATGTATTATTTCTAAGTTTGGACGTCCTGGCAGGACGTCCAAACTTGGTAGGACTCCTGCAGCTACGGTAAAGCTACATCTACTGTACAGCAGACTGCCGCTCAGTACGCCGTCGGCAGTACATGTATACATGTACCTGCAAGTGGATTTCTTACAGAGTTTGCAGTGTATACCGATATTGCAGTTCATGCTGTCGAAAGTGCATAATGGTCAATACTGTTTACAAGTACTTTTCGCGTGGACCTTCTCGCCTACTGCCGTGCCAATTCGACAAGGCCCAACCGGCGGCGGGCCATGGCCAGTCCTTTCGTTTAGCGTACCGGTACATGTGGACTTGAAATTTCATTCTCAAGTGGAGAGGTTGGCGACCGGCGGTCGCGCGCCCTGGGCTCGGCCTTACACTTCAGAAGTGCATGTGCGCCGACCTAGAGAAGAGCCAAAAGAGCGATGGCTTTACGAAACCGCGGCGGCGGGATTAACACCGTACACGAACGGGCCGCGTTTCATTAGTGCGAAGCGTGCGAGAGGCGGCGAGGAGTAAGCCCTGGTGGAGTTTTGCTGCCGCTATTGCATCCGCCTGGTGGCCGTGAGCGGATGTGGCTAAAACGCCGAAGTCCTTCGTGTCATCACCGCCTTACTATGAAGTAATATGAAGTAACGGGGCAACAACTGCACAAGACGGCAGTTCGTCTTGCTTGATCCTGTTCGAGATGAGGTGACTTCGTATCGGAGCCCGGCTCTTAGCGTATCGCAGAGCGCCTGGCCTATGCCAATGGCAACTGGTTTCACGGACGATTGCAAAGCAGGATCGATGTCATAAGCCCGACAATGCTGTGGACCACAGTATGCTACATTGTGGTGACGCCGCCAGCTCGTAGGATTCGCGCGCGGGATCCGCTGATCCGTACGTGCATTGCCGATGGCGGTCGCTGCCAGATAAAATTACATCGTAATGGTGCCATGCTTGACAAATGCCTTTTTGCTGGTTACAGTACATTTATAGCGCACCATTATCTTGGTGACGACGAGCTCCGAAATGCAAGAGAAGGGCTTGGCGTGCAGAAAGCACCGGGCGGGGCGGACTGACTCAGTCACTGTAACTGTACAGTTTACTTTAAAGTACATCTACCGGTATGAAGCTTCACCAAGAAGCTCATCATAAACATGAACTTCGTGTGCGGTAGGTTCTTTACGACTCGGCGTACTGATAGCATGTGTATCACTACTATAATTCGTGCCGCGGCCACCTTGCATGTGACTCCTTGCCGCTCAACCGACGTAGACCACCCCATCTTTGCGGCGGCGCTGCTGCTCTCAGGATCATTGCAGTAGTAAATGTAGCGCGTCCTGTACGTGCACAGCAATTTGACTCCCAGCAGCTTTTCTGCTGGAAGGTCATTTGGGTGGTCGCGCAAATGGGGAACTCGAAGAACCAAGGCCCACCTTATGTCCCATGCCGTTTCGGGCACCGCACCGCACGACCCGCGCCACGCCAGTGTTGCCCGATTTCGTTTGCTGCTCACTGTGAGCAGCTTCGCTTCATTTTCGAAGACTCTCCCTCCGCTGTGTAACTGTAGGCAGGGCTTCCGAAAATAGCCTGTCAAATTGACAATGCCAATAGCATTACCGGTACATAAATAATAAATAATTAATTTTTGGCCACAAAATCCTTTGAATGTCGTAACCTAAGAAAAGCAATGCAATAACAAATTAATTTCCTTAATTTGTTATTGCATTGCTTTTCTTAGGTACAGTAAAAAGTTATTTTACTAGCATTTCGAAAGCTCTGATTTTTGTCGAACACTCTGTCGATCTCCAACCTACCTCGCACTTCTCCTTTCTAGCACATTCCGACAAGCTGACACACCGATTTCCCTTTCAACAACATTTCGTGTAGCCGGGCCTCCCAGCCTAACCTACTCCAGCGGATGCCTACCAAAAATAGAGAAATCACCCAACATAGATGTAGCAGCTATGATAGGTCGTATCGCCGAATATGTCGACATATCTTAAAAATCGTCCGCCACAAATGTATTAACGGTCATACTCCGGTCGGCACAATGGTCTCGTGCTAGGTTGTCGCTAGCGCGACACGTGACAGTTAGTATGGGACAGAGGGGTAGCGAAATTTTACCAAGACCCCCCCTGCGCTGCGCGTGCGCAGTGCGCACGCGCGGTCAAGATGTCCGAGAGAGTCGACGGTGTGGCCCTTCTCCTCTGCGAGGCGTTCAAGACGCACAGCGAACTCGTGCGCGACGGTCGGCGCGACGTCTACCAGCTACTTATGCAGGAGGAGTGATGCATCGCCATGCGCACGCGCCATTATCTGTGACGGGGTCACACAGCACCTTGCGCTAGAGGAAGTTATCTTCCGAGAGTATACAAACTCTCAGTGAACGGCAGCTCACAGGTCTCCTCTTTATTTAAAGAGAGCGAAGTGACCTAAATAAGGTAGATTGTAAACTGAGTATATTTATAGGTAGGGTTAAGTTTGGGTTTAATACAAACTATAAGCTACCTATAGAAATGCAATGTCGTTTGACCAATGGTTGGCTTTGATCGACCTTGGTACCTTGTACCAAATATCCCGGAGTATGACGTGTCATACACCTGAAGTGTGAAGTGTCACACTTCATGTAATCAGGGTACACTTAGGGCTACGTACCCCGTTACACCCCCCCCCACTTAGGTTCGGTTTACCGACCAATCAGAATGAAGAGGTGTTCGTCACAAACTCTCATTCTCAAAGTCAAAAACCATCGACTTGGCCGCGCGAGCGCGGCGGAGGCTTACTTCACAGTTAGAGCCTCGAGCAGCAACCAGTGCGCTCTTCGTCTAGGTCTCCAATTCGACCGTTACCGTGCCTCGTGGCACTGCAAAGAGCGGTGCTAAGACACGCTCCAAGGCTGCTGCCGGTAAGGCGCAAGTCAAGAGCACTAAGCCTCACGGCAAAGGCTCGGCACTCAAGGAGGCTACTCAGGTGGCCTCCGAGGCGATCGGTTCCTCGGGTGACGCGGCTGTGGACAAGCGAGCAAGCAAGTGCCGCAGTCCGTCGCCCTCATCTTCAGACAATCGTCCGAACCCTCGGTTCGTGGAACGTGAGCTCAACTCGGGCAGTGAGGACGATGCCGAGTCCGAGAGCACGCACGATGCTCCTGCGGGCTCTGTGGGAGGGCACAGCCCAGTGCCCAGTGAGCACAAAGATGACAGCGTACAGTCGCTCGCTAGTGATCAAGGTGATCACAGTCCCAGAACGTCTGTGCGCTCCGAGAGTCCGGCCGTCAAGGCTAAGGGCGCTCCCAAAGCCGGTGGCGATGAGGAAGAGAATCCTCGCAAACGTCTCTCGCTTGCCGAGGGTCTTGCGCGTGCTAAGGTCTCTAAAGCCGAAGGCGCCAAGCCCTCTAAGAAGCGTACAGCCTCTAAGTCTTCACTCCGCGAGGAGAAGGAGACTCGACGCTCCTATCAGAGTACCCATCAGCCAGGGAGCTGCCATCAACTCAAGAGGGTATTGGCCTCCCGAGGAGAGCTCTGGGGGCCGACCTCTTCTTAGAGATTCTCGTCGCTCCTCGTGGCCTTGTGGGCGGCCACACTTCTAGGGGCATCTATGAACGAGCCCTTGTTCAGAAAGAACAGTTGTTCGTTGACATCTTGGAGGCTGCTCGGTGTGTGCTTCTCGCGCCACACCGCATTCCCCTTAAGGACTTCACAACTTATCGTAAGAAGCCCGAGACCCGGGGTGGTCTCTATCCTCTTTGGGGATACCCCTGGGTTATGCCCGAGAACTGTCCCACGTGGAGTTGTTGTGAGGACATGTTCTGGGCATGGGTGGGAACTCTTAACCCTTTCGCGAGGAGCACATATAAGCCCATTTTTTCTATACTATACAGGTCAAGACAATAAGAGCTAAAAGGGCGCAAAATTCGCCCTTTAAGGTATTGGTAAAGACGGGGATGGTGTGCAAATCAAGCTTGATGCAGTTTGATGTGGTGTATTTTGCCTTAAAAGGGCGAATTTTGCGCCCTTTAAGGTATTGGCTAATAAGTGAACACTCAGACAACTCGAGGTCGATTCTATTTTGATTGGTCAAAACAATTCGGTACAGCGTACCACCGCTGAAATAAAACGGCGAAACTTACGAAGATATTCGGCTACTGACCGTTTTCTGGATGATGACTTGTCGAAGGATGATGCCCACGCTGCTGCAGCTTCCGAAGTTCGCGCCATTATGTAGTGTTGTGGTGTTGACCGGCGAGATCATGCCGCTGGTTTCCCGCGATAACATGTAAGCCGCTATACGTTTGTGGGTGCTTTTGGGGATGCTGTTTCAAGCGTCACCTTTAGTTTTGAAGCTATAGGTGCTCAAGGTTCCGATTTGAGCGTGTAGAACACTAGGTTGCATATGTGTCCATTCCAGTATGGCCGGCGATGGTGTAACTACAACGCAGTGCAGTGATGTATAAATCTTATGCTTTGTATTTGAA